GTACTCGGGGTTGAGAGAGAAGCGGAAGGGGGTGGTGGGACTTCAATGGGTGAGGTGAGGGAAGCCATGGTAAGGTCCAGAGTGGGGACGGTCACTTGGGGAGGCAGCGAAGGACATGAAAGCGGAGGGTTTTCGACAGGCATGTCAGGAGGATGGTTAACGAAGGGGGTTGGATCATAGGAGGGCTGAGACATGGGAGCAGGAGGGAATGAATGAAGTGGCACTGGGTAATAGTAGGAACCATCCGCACCGAGCACGGGGCACAGGGGAGTGGGAGCTGAAGACACACCCCCAGTAGGTGGGGTCTGCGTCGTGACGGGGGAAACAGGGCGGGAAGTAAGTGTTGCGCTCCGGGCGCCATCATAGGGCGGTGGTCGTGAAACAATAGGAACAACATCATCATTGTGAACACTCCTGTGATAAACATACACAATTTGCCCCTCAACTTCCAGTTCTTCCTCGACCCATCCTTCTCTTTTCAACCCTCTAGCTACTCGGTACCAAGCCTCTGCAACTTTCGTGAGTCCATTATCCAACAACAACCCTTCCTTGTCTATAAGCAACTTCCTCCAAAACTCAGGTTGTAATCTCCCGCTGGGCAACATCTGGAAACCACACACCTTAGCAATCTTTTTAAGTTTTAGCATTGCATCTTCACCTGCCCTTTCTTTCACAATGTCACAAGCTAGCAAGCCCTTAGCAGGTCTAGCGTGTTCCTGTCCCATATTTGAGTAACCAAAGCGTGCCACACGTGGAAGACAAAGAAGTATAGTAAGTGTAGGGGAAAAAGAATGTCTACAGTGCTCGACTGCCACGAGAACTTGAGCCCCGTGCGTCTTCCCCAAACGTAGACTAGTCACGGAGATCCGCCCACCCGGGGTGGTGGTCACGGACAGGAGCGAATGAGCGTGGGTGACTAACACAGCTCTGGGCAACAGGCACAGGAGAGATAAAGAACAAAGGAGAAAATGAACGTGGCTGCGCTAATGAGAAGACATTTGCAAAAATCACAAACATACAAATGAGCGTAAACACCGGAATCCAGAACTAACCACACAATACACACACACACACCAAGGGTACCCACACTGTAACAACAATTAAAAAATGGCCATGTACATGTTAACACCACCGGTGTCAGATATTCAGAATATAACGATCTCCAGCCTTCACCCACCAGGCTGGTCCCGGCAAAACACTGGTATCAACGGAAATACTACAATAATCAGACAAAAATCTCAGCCCCACTGGCTGTAATGCGTTCCCTGCCCGCTAGGCAGTCAAGCTAACATATAAAACCCAGCCCCACCGGCTGTAATGCGTTCCCTGCCCGCTAGGCAGTCAAGCAAACATAAACCGCGTTCCCTGCCCGCTAGGCAGTCAAGCAGACATAAAAACCCAGCCCCACCGGCTGTAATGCGTTCCCTGCCCGCTAGGCAGTCAAGCAAACATAAATCGCGTTCCCTGCCCGCTAGGCAGTCAAGCAGACATAAATTGCGTTCCCTGCCCGCTAGGCAGTCAAGCAAACATATAAAATGCGTTCCCTGCCCGCTAGGCAGTCAAGCAAACATATAAAATGCGTTCCCTGCCCGCTAGGCAGTCAAGCAAACATAAAATGCGTTCCCTGCCCGCTAGGCAGTCAAGCAAACATAAACTGCGTTCCCTGCCCGCTAGGCAGTCAAGCAAACATGTCTTAAAGGTATAATAAACACACACACATAAATGAATACAGGAGGCAGATAGACAATCGACAGGTTCACTTAAAAAAAGTACAAAAAAAAAGGGCTGCGCTTAAGTAATAAATGAATAAAAGTCCAGATAAAATAAATAGATAAATGAATAAATAAATAAATAAAACAGAAGAGGTCTTATCTTGCAATGTCCGTAGTACTTAGTCAGAGGTAATAATCTTGCTTTCTTGCTTTCTGTCTTGCTTTCTGTCTTTCTTGTGGATAGTCTCTTGTGTGAGATATAAAAACAAATATAAAACCACAATGGTGCAGTATATCTATATGTGTAAGGAATAAAATATAAAGGCTTGATTGCGAACTCACATATCCAAGAGCTAGGACCTGCTCTGGTATAGAAGGCGTACAGCGGTTTAGATCCCCGCTTATGGGATATAGGATGGTTATCCTCCACGTGTTTCCTCCTTCCGTGGTGAAAAAGATGCTCAAAAAAAAAAAGAGGAGACAGCCAATAGTGTTCTCTGCGTAAAATTAAAATCCAATATAAAACAAAATAAAAAATGGATACTCACAAGACAGGAGCAGGTCAACTGCTCCTGGTATTTCGCACTGGTGGAATAATCCCCACCTAGGATTGCTTGGAGTCCAGCGAATGATGCCAGGTAACAATAATAATTATATGTGTGTTAAAAGATAAGTAGTACAATAAAAGATTATAAAATATACTTTAATTGTAACATTACACACTATAAAAAACCATAAACGCGTTTCGCCAATCGGCGTTATCAATATGGGTAAAGGACCTGATACCTGGCAAAAGATCATTTAAATAGCATACTCAATTAACTCAAAAATTGGCGCCAAAATTTGGACAGCCAATCAGATAGCAATAAAAGATTACATACAATATAGCAGTAATAAAACATAAAAAATAATATACATAAGGATAAAGCTAGAACAGACATTATAAATTATGTAATTTAACTTTGAAAACGATCAGTGATTGTTGAGAAAAAACTCTGAGATGCACGGTCACATGACCGGCATCGCAACCGCAAGGGGTTATGGGGTGTGTAGTTTGACGCCGGCCGGCACTGCGCAGCCGCCGGCGTCATGAGGGGGAATTGGTAGCTGGCGTCTGTTCGCATAACGGATGCGTCCAGACGCCAGTAGGCGGAATGAGGGGCGGGCTGATGACGGCGGCACGCACAAGACAGTGGCCGCCGTCATCAGGAAGAAGATAGACGACGGCTCACACAACGCTGTGGCCGTCGTCATGGAGATGATACATAACAATATCGGCAAGCTATGGCCGAATAGAGGAGGGGGGAGAGGGAACAAATAGTCATTTAAAAAGCAATGTAAATGGAATGAAATAAAATAAGATGAATGAAACTAATTGTTAAAAGAAAAATGAAATAAAAACATGCTTATGTGAGAGACAGGCAGGTAAAAAACAACATCATACCTGCTCTGCTGGATAGTAAGAGAGGCATGGTGAGAGAACAAAAACAATAATAGATAATATAAAAACATATACTTATAAAAAATATGATTATAGGAATTTGGATTATAAAAAATTAAATAAGTCAAAATCAACATTCAGACCATAAGGTGCAAGAGTTTGGAGTGTATAAACCCACTCCATCTCTTTTTTACCTAGAATATTTTTAATATTTCCACCCCTCCATGGAACCATACATTTCCCTATAGCAATGCATTTAAGCATTTTAGGATCTTTATTATGTATAATAAAATGTTTGGATACTGAATGATTTAAGTATCCGTTCTTGATATTTCTGCAGTGTTCGCTCAGACGTATTTTTAGACACCTTGTGGTCATTCCAACATATTGGAGGCCACAAGGGCATTCAAGCAGATATATTACATTTTTCGTGGAGCAATTAATAAAATCATTTATTTTGTAAACCTTGTTAGTCCTTTTTGATGTAAATTCCGTTACTTTGGGTGGAACATCAGGATTGGTGGATTTACACACAATGCAC